GACATATCACAGACAACACCAGTCTGAATCCCTGCTCAGTTCTCACAATAGCTGCTGTACTCCGTGCTACTCTTATACCTAGTACCTTCACAGACTCAACTGTCCCTCTGCCTTGGGATCCAAGCGGCAGTGACACACCATCACTTCCAGATCTACCAGGTACCTGGAGACCTCTACACACAGCTGAGAACCAGAAGACAAAAGAGCAAATGAAGAAACCTTGCTTGTTTTCAGTCCTAAAGAGCTAAGGGGTAGGGCACGACAGACAGACACAGATAGGATAAAGACAGAAAACAACAGGTGCCTATCGGACCAACAAAGATTTTTACAGGGCAGAACTCATGATCATACACCAGCCAAAAGATCAATGTCTATTTAAGTCTCAGCCATGGTATAGTTAATAGATCTTCATGCCAAGGTCAGTCAGTCACCCCACGGTTTGCCTGACTGCTTTCTGGGTCTCAAGATTATCAGCTTCAAATCCTCATCACACAGCTTCTAGCCCCATCAGCAAGCAAACAGTCCTCCCACATCCCAGTATTTTCCACTGCTTTAAGTTTTTAAGTATCCATATACCTATGAGCATGAATTTTCTAAAAACCACCCGCTAGGTGAATTTTCTAAGAAACAATCGACCATTCGCTAGTATTACATATGTAGATGCTGTGAGTTTTGTTTTATGTGTTTGTCTGGAAACAGGGTCTCATTATGCAACTCAAACTAACCTTGAATTGAAGGTTCTCCCTCCTCTTTATCACATGATTCGAATATGTCCCCTAAAAGTTCAGGTACTAGAAAAGCCTCAAAGTCATATATTAATTCTATTTGGGACTAGAAGGTAAATGGATATGTTAGCAGATAACTAGGGTTAATGAGGTCTCAAGGGTGGGGCACCCATGCTGACTTTACAAGAGGAAGAGACTCAAGTTACCAAGTTTGCTCATTTTACCATGTGATACCATGTGCTTGCTGTGTTATGATGCAGGTGCCAAGCTCTCCAACTTCCTGGTTTCCAGAACTGTGAGCCAAATAAGCTTCTCTTCCTTATGAATTACCACATCTCAGGTACTCTGTTACAATAACAGAAAATAGTCTGAGACAGAGACTGATCCCTGCCTGCATAGAAGCATTTTTTAGAGAAGTCAAAAGAATCTCATCACATCTGTTTCAATATTTGCCCTTAACCCAAATGTCATAATCTTCACATTCAAGTCTGCAACACAGCAATTCTTTTGTTGGTGTATTTATTTATTTATTTATTTATTTATTTATTTATTTATTTATTTATTTCATGTGTATTGGTGTTTTGCCTGCATGTATGTCTGTGAGGGTGTCAGGTCCCCAAGAACTGTAGTCACAGACAGTTGTGAGCTGCCATGTGGATACTGGCAATTGAACTCAGGTGCTCTGGAAGAATAGTCAGTGCTCTTAACCAATAAGCTACCTTTCCAGCCACTTTGTTTTTTGTTTTTCTAGACAGGGTTTCTCTGTGTAGCCCTAGCTGTCCTGGAACTCACTATGTAAACCAGACTGGACTCTAACTTCACAGAGTTCCGCCTGCCTCTGCCTCCCAAGTGCTGGGATTAAAGGTGTGCACCAACACTGCCTGGCAACAAATACCTTTTTTTTTTTTTTCCAAAACAATGTTTCTCTGTATAACAGTTCTGACTGTCCTAGAACTTGCTTTGTAGACCAGGCTGGCCTGGAACTTAATACATGACTCCTTTATCTGCTCATTTTCTCCATTCTCTATTGCTTGAGAGAATGTTCTCATCAGGAATCCCATGTCAAGCATATAGATGAAGGTAAATGAATTTTGCTCATCAGCTTCAACTAGACCACTTGCCAATCCAACAGCTACAAGGACCTGCCCCTACTTATGACTTGTCATTTGATAAACAGGGAAACAGGGAGAACAACACGCACCCTATGTTCTTTGGCTTCCCTTCATTGCCAGCAAATGGTTCTGCTTCATTCTCTCAGATCACCTGTTTGGTACTGAAATGAGGACAATCATGTTCCTCATTGGATTTTCAACTTGTTTTTCTTTTCTTTCTTTCTTTCTTTTTTTTTTTTTTTTTTTTTTTTAAGACAAGATGTCACTGTGTAGAAGTGGCTGTCCTTGAACTCACTAAGCAGCTCAGACTGGCCTCAAACTCTGCCTCTGCCTCCCTAGTACTGGGATGAAAGGTATTCAACACCATGCCTAGTTTCAACAAGTTTTAAGATTGTATTGTTTATGTGTAGGTATCTATGTGCATTCATGGGGCCAGAAAAGGGAATCAATCCCCACCCCCTAAAGCTGGAGTTATGAATGACTGAGCTATCTGGGTGCTAGGAATCAAACTACAGTCCTCTGCAAGAGCAGAATGCACTCTTAATCACTAAGCCCTCTCTACAGCCCCCTAAGTGAATTTTTAAGACACTATTATTTCCCTAAGCCTACAGAGGATACTAGCAATGAACAGCTGTCAAGGGAACCAAAGATACAGAAAAAGCACAAGGAAAAGTATGAAGTGAGAGCAAGGAATAGGAGGGTGGGGGCCTTTTTGTTGTTGTCATCTGATTTTGACACAGGGTTTCTACGGGTGTGTGGCCAGGCTAGCTGGAACTCATGACCCTCCTACCTCAGGCCTCCCCAGTGCTAAGTTTTAATCTGAGAAATGGACAAGCATAATGTGAGCAAAACAGTAATAATAAACTTGTAATAAAAAAAAAAAGTCTTGCTTTTAGAAGCCAAGTGAATTAGTACCTTTGGTGGGTACATGTATGCATGTGTGTGGAGGGATCAGTGAGGCAGGAGCCGCTGCCCCAGGACAGCAGAGAAGGAAATCCCCTGTCAGGAAGATGCATCATTACATAAGAACTCCAGATCAATCACCATACCATGGAAACCAGCCAGAAAACCACACAGTGCTGAGGTCTTGCCACCTGCCAGCACCTCTCCATAACCTGCCTTCCTCTACTAGCCTGAATGCTAGTTTAGGAGAAGCTGGGCACAGCAAGTCAAACTGTCATCTGGTGGGTTTGTTTTCAGGACTGCACACCCAGAGGCTTTTCTATAGCAGTAGGTGAGGATTTGACTTATATACCATTCCTACAATATCCAAATCCGTCTAAGGACAGGAAGCCCATCTATAGGTTTCAAACTGGAAACTAACCTTCCTCTCTTTAATTTAGTGAGTACGCGTTCCTAAAAGCAGCAAACAGTAATGAAAATTACCACAATTAACAAAGCCAGGTGTGGTGGTGCACGCCTTTGATCCCAGCCCTTGGGAGGCAGAAGCAGGTGGATCTCTTGTGAGTTCAAAGACTGTTGCACGGAGAAACTGTCTCAAAAAAAAACAAAACAAAACAAAAAGAGAGGAGGGGCAAAAAAAAAAAAAAAAAAAAAAAAAAAAAACCAAAAACAAAAACTGGGCACCATGAAAGCTGTCTGGTTTCAGTTTTACTCACAGCTATCTCTAAAATCAAGCAACCACTGGCATTTGCTGTATATCACATGAAATACAATGAAGACTTTTTAAAAGGTGAGCATAAATGTGCATCCAGGAGAAAGTCAGGGATGCTTATAGTTAGAGAAACAGCCTCCAGTCGTGGTGCTTTGAGAAAGATCTAGAGACCTTAAGTTATTTAACTTGTGTGGCTTTTGTCTCAACTGGGAAAATACGGATCGTATCCACCCTACCCCAATGTTATTAAACGAGATCAAAAGTGAAACTTGGGCCAGTGAGCTAGCTCAGTGGTTAAAAGCACTTGGCACCAGCCCTGATCACCAAAGTTCAGTTGCTGGGAGGTAGAAAACTGGCTCCTACAAGCTGTTCTTTGACCTCCCTACCAGCACCATGGTGTGTTATGTACACAAGCTCGCACACTCGAACGAACTCACGCACACCAATGACGTGTAATTTCTCAAGTGAAACTTTTAGCACAAGCGTGGTACACAATAAGCCCCTGAAGTAAAGGAACACTCATTTCTGTTTGCATATGCATCTAATGAAAAGTACAAAGCTCAGAAAACTAAGAAGTTAATGCCAAGGACATGTCTCTACTAGTCTCCACTAGATGGTGACAATCTGGGTGTAGAATTCCCAGAACACAAAAGTGTGTGTGTGCTCGTGTGTATCATTTTTTAACTCAAGGGATTCTAAGAGCAAAAAGGGAATTGATCACTGTGAAGAGCAGAAAGACACTGCAGATCGAGAAAGGAGTAAAAGACACATGGCTTAACTGAACTGAATAACGTGCACCTCTCTGTACAGAGAGAGCACTTCAAACCAGTCAGCAAGAGCAACAAAGGGCAGCATACTGCCTTGTCACCATAGAAGTGTGTGACAACTTTAGGCCTCTGCCAAACCGTGAAGTTCCCCATGAACTTGACGCCTCTTTTCCTAGGCCTTGCTGCCCTCCCAATTCCGTTACAGGTAAGTTTTTCCACCACGGTGGCTGCACAACCACAACCGTGAAGGGGACGTCAGACTCACAAATATTTGCGATTTTAGAAGGACTCAAAAATCAAGTCTATATGTAGACACATTTACAAAAACAAAACAAAACAAAACAGGAAGCGGCTTCGGCGAGTTTCATCCCACATAATAAGAAAGTTTCTGCGACTGAAGAGGCGACCGGGCTCTGGGGCTCCGGGAAGCTCACGCGCACACGCGAGCGGCTGCAAGACTTCCTCGGGAAAGCCACCTCGGCCAAGCCCGTCCGGCCGCGGCTTGCTGGGCGGAAGGGCCAGCGCGGCCACACCGAGGGCCTCCACACGCCGCGGATCCTCGGGTCCCGGCACCGCACAGCCACGCCACCGCCCTCAGAGCGGCCGGGCCCGGCTATCTCAGCGCGCCCCGCGCCGCTGACACCGGCCAGAGCCGGAGCAGGCGGCCGCGCTGAGGCCCGCGTCCCCGCGGAGGTGCGTGCCCGCCCGTGCCCTGACATGCAGCCCCGCGCGCCGCTGACACAAAGCCGGCCCTCCGGCCCGGGCGGCGGTGACAACTCACCCGGGAGTCGCGCCGAGACCTCCGGGAAGGGGGCGCTCGCAGCTCCCGCGCCGCAGAACCCGCTCCGCCGCTGCGCGCGCCCTCCTGCACTCCTTGTCGGGTCCCCGCGACGCCTCGCGTGCCCCGGACTAGCTCGTGCTGTCGGGCGCTGCGGGAGGAGCAGGACGCGAGCGGTGGCCGGCTTCGGAGGATGGAACGGGGCGGTCGCTGCGCCAGCGTCACTGGCCCAGCTGGACAGCGCGGGCGGGGGAGGCCCCGCGGAGGGCGGGGGGAAGGGAAGGGACGGGGGCCTGGGCGGGGCCAGACGCGCACGCAACAAGCGCCGGCGTCGCGTCGCTGCGACCGCCCGGCGGATTCGTGCGCACGCGCCGTCGACCTTGTCTGACACGCCCCTAGAGGGTGTGTGTGGGGGGGGGGGGGTTGTGGAACCTTAAAGAGACAGTCGCTCTGACCGCACTGGCTGTCATGTAAACACTAGTTCGTCACCTTTCCAGGGCGCTCTCCAGTTCTTTTACTGTATTGTTTGGTTATTATTTGGATGTTTTAATTACTGTCATTTGCAAAGAAGTGTATTGCTGTCTAAGAGGCTCTGTCGCACACGTTGCCTGACCTATCTCTGAAGCAGGTTATTATCCCCCTATTAAGCAGTACTCTAGGTTATGGTGTGTAACTTAAGTACCTCAACAGTGCCCCGAGGGGTTAGGTAGGTGTGGAAATGTAGATTCAGCCATCTTGAGTCTATAAAGCTGGGATGGACTACGGGAATCTTTTTAATGGGTGTCCCAAAGTGCTACCTCTGCACAATCAAAGGACCTGGTGAATCTCAAACTGAAGAAAACTGATGTTCCAGCAAGCGAAGGGGAACCCGGGACTGAGGGCATGGCCCCTAGCTTTGCTCTGCTATCAAGCACATCTCAAATGAGCAAACATGGCCTGCTGCACCCATCTAACAGGGAGTGACCTCTCACTGAAGAGGGGTGGCCACATGATAGTAGAAACTGTGGCTTTTTGTGCCCATGTCCTTGTACTTGACCTGTCTCAGAAGTGCTCATTAAACATTGAGACAGTCCTTCCTGAAAATCAGTAGCTCATAAATCAGTCAGCCGTTTTAGCCAAGTTGCCTTCCCCCCCCCCCCAGGCAAGTGCCCTACCTAGCTCTACTGGGAGGGAGGGGTTTTTTTTGTTATTGTTTTGTTTTTCTTTTGCCAGATGCCCTAAGAACAAAGCGTTCAGGGCCTTTCACCTAGAAAGCTTTCAATAAAGGTGCTGTGAACTACCACCACCACAACACACCCACCCTCTAGAGAGCTCTTCCCCTTGGACCTCAGAAACCCTTGATGTGTTTCTACCCACCAACACACACACACACACACACACACACACACACACACACACACACACACACACGAAAAATGGACACCTGGAATCCTGCTCAGTTACCCACTCTAATGGAGCTGCACTGCCCAGACCATTAAAGGGTTGAAATGCATCAGCCTATAATGTCAGCAATTAGGAAGGAGGCTGAGGCAGGAGGATTCCAAATACAAGGCCAGCCTCAGCTACAAAGCAAGAACCTGTATCAAAAAAGAAGAGGTGAGAAACGCTGTAGGACTGTAGCAAGCTTGCTGAAACATGTGGTCCTAGCAGGGACACCCAAGAGACAGAGAAATGAAGTAGAGGAAAGAATAAAGGACAGACTGGAGAAAAAGAATGGAAGGAATAAGAAGGTGCAAGGGAAGAAAGTGGGCATGAAGGCACAGCTCATGTCTTCCAAGAGGGCAGCTGAGTCTCCAGCCATGTGTGGCAGTTTGATCATTAAGAGGGGATCTCATGAAGGACTTGCCAGGTCTCACTGTGTAAAATGATATCATCACTCACTGCCTACCAAAGTCCACCGACTGAGAACAAAGTTCACAGCACAGATTGTGTCCAGGGCTCTCCACAGTATGGCAGGAATCCAACCACACCACCCCTCTGAACAACTGGCACTCCGACCTCCCCACCTGGCTAGCAGATCTCTAACAAGCCACCACTGTCACCCCTCTGAGCCCTCACCAGCTGCTCCCCAACCTGGAGTGTCCTTTTCCATTCCCCTTCCTTACTCTGAAGCTCTTCTCCGGCTGCCCCTCTGTGGTGCTTTGGTTTAGCTTCACTCACACACTTATTTCCTTTTATCTTGTATTGCCAGGATCAGGACCAGGGTAAACCCCCTTTGTCTCTTGTCAATACTGCGTCACCAGCCTCTTGCCTCTTTCCTCCTTCCTACTCCTCATAGCTTACGTTCTGATGCTGCTTATAGATCTGGGTCAAAGATCTTCTTACATTTTGCTTATAATAAGCCTTGCTCTACTCTCCTGCAAAATGAGGATGGCACTTCCTGGCTTAGGATATGTTTTTTGTTGTGCTTTGGTTTAGTTCATTTCTTTCTTTCTTTCTTTTTTTTTGGGGGGTTGTCAATGTTGATATATCCTAAGATGGACATTAAGAGTGCTTTGTGCCCCACATGTGCTCACAAAAGCAACCCTAATTAAATGAAGTAGGGCCCACACAAAAAAGTCATCCAAGTAGGACAGAAGTGACTTGCTGGTAAGAAGAAAGGGTGTGTGTGTGTGTGATTGTGAAATAATAACTAAGAATAACTTGGATTTATGAGATTCTCAAGTGTGTAAGAGGAATATTGGTTATGACATATAACAGCTGTAATGATAGCCACTATTTATAGAGCACCTACTTCATGCCAGGTATTTACTTAGTAGGAACCTTATCCCTGTAACTTCTAATTCTGGTAACAATCTTCCAAGTCAAGCATCAACATCACTTTATCAGGAAGGCTCACAGAGAGGTTTCTACCTATCAAAAACTATGCAGCAGGTATGTTGTGAAACCAGAATTTGTTGTTTGTCTCCTCCAAGGGCCATTCTTTTCAAAAAAAAAAAAAAAAAAAAAAAAGAAAAAAAAAAAAAAAAAACATGCAACTTCTCCTACCCTCAGCACACAGGTGGGGGGGGGTGTGGAAGGTACATAGCACACAACAAGACACAATGGCCCTTGTGTATCTATCTGTTCCTCTTTCTCAAAGGGCATCTTTACACACCAGCTCATTGTATCCTCACAGGGTTCCACAAAATGAGCCATGACTGCCCCCTATTTTACCCAAGGAAGCTATGGTAAGAGGATGTCTTCATTAGGATTTCTATTGCTGTGAAGAGACACCATGATCACAGCAACTCTTACAAAGAAAAAGCATTTAATTGAGGTGGCAGCTTACAGTTTCAGAGGTCCGGTCCATTATCATCATTGCATGCAGGCAGACATGGTGCTGGCTACATCTTGATAAGAAGGCAACAGGATGTGGACAGTCTCACTGGGCGTGGCTTGAGCACATACAAACCCTTAAAGCCTGCCTCCACAGTGACACACTTTCTCCAATAAGAATATACCTACAAATATACCATACTAACAAAACTACACTTCCTAAGTGCCACTCATTTTGGGAGCCATTTTCTTTCAAACCACCACTGGCTTATTTCATCTCACACATCCATTAGCTTCAGTTTCATGTTTCAATTCAAGAATCCTTGGGTTGCCTTCACAGTCCAAGAAAGGAAACCTACTTAACTCCAAGGGAAGTGGAAGTATTCAGTTGCTAAAGAAAGCAGAAGTCTAGTATGGATGTGCCACAGTGCTCCACCTGTCTGAGCTGAGAGGAAGATCCCAACCAAAGGAGGAAGCTGTGGTTTTGTGAGCTGGCACTGTCATAAGGATAACCTGCAGCTCGATGGGAACCTGTGAGAGCCAGACTTGATATCTACATCACTAGACACAACCAGTCAGACAGTGTTTTGCAGGGTTCAGGGTTCAAATCACAACAACCAGGGCAATGCCCTGTGCACCCAAACCCTGGCCCCAGCCTTAGAATATGCACTGGCTAGGCTTGGTGGCCCACACTGTTAAGCCCAGCACCCAGGAGGCAGAGGCAGGTGGATCTTTCTGAGTCTGAGGCCAGCCTGGTCTACACAGGGAGTTCAAGAACAGGAAGGACTACAAAGAAAAATCCTGTCTCAAATTTAAAAAAAAAATTAAATTAAATTAAAGAAAAAGCTTTTGAAAAAAGAAGGAAAATATGTACTGGAATCTGCCTGGCCAGTTGGTGTGGACTATGCCCCACTCCCGATTTTCTGAAGCACTAAAGTCTAACCACATTTTTATTCCCAACACAGATCCAGTAATCTGGGTAAAAGTGTTGGACCCAGTTTTTTCACACAAAAGAAAACCAAGAGAAAAAGCAGCCACTAGTCTGGACTACATAATGAGACCATGTCAGAAAGAAAGGAGAGAGAGAGAGAGGGATGAGAAAGGGGAGAAGAATTCAAATATGAGAGTCCATCTGCCGTGTTCCCAGGAGGCCCAGGTGGTAACCCAGTGGGAGGAAAATGCCAGATCCTGTCACAGGCACACGGCACACACCCAAGGCTGGCCAACCAGATCACCTTTGCCCAAGAGCTGGGCAGGGACCGGGAGACAGCCAGCCTGGAAGGAGGAAGGAACAGAGGGCAGCTGATGGCCTGAGGCCTTCTTAGCTACAACCAACCCACAAACCTCACCCACGCTGCTCTCAGTCTTATGACGCCACTGTCCCTTGGCCACTCTTCCTCCTCCAGGTTTCCTGATTGTTCATTTTCCCGAGACTTAATGGAGAGAAGAGAGAGCTGTATGATTGGTTCAGCAAGTTCTGAGGTACCAGTGGCTGGAGGAATGGAGTTGTCTCCTCCTTCAGATCATCAGGGGTGGGAGGCCCTGATAGCTGCCACACAGAATGCTTACATGCTTATGTGTGCAACATCCTGTCTCCAATCCCCAGAACCAAAACATAAAAATAAAGAAAATTTCCAAGTTTATTGTTAAACAAAACTAAATTGCATGCAGAAAATTTAATAGTGTGGTATTAACATGATACTCAATATACTTATTTTTAATAATGTATTTACTTTTATTTGCATTGGTGTTTTGCAGGCATGTATGTCTGTGTGAGGGTGTCACAGCCAGTTGTCAGTTGCCATGTGGGTGCTGGGAATTGAACCTAGGTCCTCTGGAAGAGCAGTCAGTGCTCTTAATCACTGAGCCATCTCTCTAGCCCCTTCCATATCACT